TACTGTTCACATATATGCTTCAATGTAAACACTTTTATCTACACATCCCCTACCCACTCTGAAGCCTCCTTGCTCATCCGCAATTCTACATTCTGTCTTACCTCTAATTCTTTCAATTATAACTCACCGTATACTTTTCCCGGTATACTCAGTAAACTTATTCCCCCTATAATTTTACAATCTCTTTTGTCCCCTTTCCCTTTATATAAAGGGACTATACATGCTCTCCCCGCCCAAACCCAGGTACCTTCCCTCTTCATACATTTTTTAAACAAAAGTACCAACCCCTCCCAAAACTATATCCCCCCCTGCTTTTAACATTTGTCATGATCCCAAACAGTTCCAGCTGCTTTTCCCCCTTTCATTCTACGAATGCCTCACGTACCTCCACCACACTTACATTCTGCTCTTCTTCACTCCTAAAAGATGGTAAATCCTCCCTGGCCAGTGCATGAAATTACAGCCTCCCTTTCTTCCTCAACATTAAAAGTTCCTCAAAATATTCTCGCCATCTACCTAATAAACCCCCCTCCTCCCCATCTACTAACTCCCCTACTCGTTTTTAACAGACAAATCCATACTTTCCCTAGGCTTTCTTAACTTGTTTTTAAATCACTCCAAAATTTTTTCTTATTTTTATTAAAATTTTCTTGACAGTGCCTCTCCCACTCTTTCATCTGCTCTCCTTTTGCACTCTCTCACCACTCTCTTCACCTTTTTTTTTACTCTCCATATACTCTGCTCTTCTTATAACACTTTGCTTTGTAAAAAAACCCCTCGTAAGCTACCTTTTTCTCTTTTATCACACCCTTTACTTCATCATTCCACCAATCACTCCTCTTTCCTCCTGCCCCCACCCTCCTATAACCACAAACTTCTGCCCACATTCTAATACTGCAATTTTTAAAACTATTCCAACCCCTTCAACCCCCCCACTACTCATCTTTGCACTAGCCCACCTTCTGCCAATAGTCGCTTATATTCTCGCCCGAACTCCTCCTCCCCTTAGTTTATTACACTTTCAACCTCCCTCTTACTTCTTGTTGCCACCTTCCTCTTTTCCCCCTCTACCTCTTACTGTAACGTAGTCTACAACTAAATAATGATCTGATATATCAGTTTCCCCTCTATAAACATGTACATCCTGGGGCCTACCCATCAACCTTTATCCACCAATACATAATCTAACAACTACTTTCATTACGTGCTACATCATACCTCGTACATTTATTTATCCTCTTTTTCATAAAATATTTATTACTTATTACCAAATTTCTTTCTACACATAGCTCAATTAAAGGCTCCCCATTTACATTTACCCCCGGCACCCCAAATTTACCCACTACTCTCTCCCTAACATTTTTACCCACTTTAGCATTGAAATCCCCAACCACCATTACTCTCACATTTGATTCAAAACTCCCCACGCATTCACTCAACATTTCCCAGAATCACTCTCTCTCCTCTACACTTCTCTCTTCTCCAGGTGCATATACGCTTACTATAACCCACTTATCACATCCAATCTTTATTTTACTCCACATAATCCTTGAATTTATGCATTTGTAGTCCCTCTTTTCCTGCCATAGCTTTTATTTTTTTATTTATATATATATATATATATATATATATAATATATATAATATATATATATATATATATAATATATATATATATAATATATATATATATATATATATAATACGTATATATATATCCTAGGTAGTAGGTTGGTAGACAGCAACTGCCCGGGGAGGTGCTACCATCCTGCCAAGTGAGTGTAAAACAAAAGCCTGTAATTGTTTTACATGATGATAGGATTGCTGGTGTCTTCTGTCTCATAAATATGCAAGATTACAGGTAAGTCTTGCTACTTCTACTTACACTTGGGTCACACTACACATACACGTACAAGCATATATATACACACCCCTCTGGGTTTTCTTCTATTTTCTTTCTAATTCTTGTTCTTGTTTATTTCCTCTTATCTCCATGGGGAAGTGGAACAGAATTCTTCCTCTGTAAGCCATGCGTGTCGTAAGAGGCGACTAAAATGCCGGGAGCAAGGGGCTAGTAACCCCTTCTCCTGTATATATTACTAAATTTAAAAGGAGAAACTTTCATTTTTCCTTTTGGGCCACCCCGCCTCGGTGGGATACGTCCGGTGTGTTGAAAGAAAGAAGAATATATACAGCGGAACCTGGGTTTCCGGTTGTCCTAGTTTTCGTTGGATTCAGTTTTTGACAACTTTTTTTTGTCAAAATTTTGTAACAGTTTTCATTCATCACCTCGGTTTTTGTCGTTCTGCCGTACCGAACATATCTGCCTGCCCACGCCCACACAAAGCATCCCACGTGTTCTGAGTCAGTCTGGCTTTGTTTCTCGTCAAGTGAGCATTACCCTGCGCATTCATCTGAAACATTTTGTAATAATCCATTGCTTTTTGTGCTTGTTTATTGAGTGCAACTTCTAAATAAGCCACCACAGGGCCAAAGAAAGTTCCAAGTGCCAGCCCTTTGATAAAGAAGACAAGAAACACCATAGAATTCAAGAAAGAACTACTAGTAGTAAAGTAGGAAAGTGGCGTACATGTGGTCGATCTTGCTAGGATGAACGGAAGTTCTCATCAACGATCAGTGCCATCCTGGCGAAGAAAAAAGAAATTAAGGAATCTAATGTTGTGAAAGGGGTAAATGTGCTAATGAAACAGAGATCGTAAACAATCAAAGATGTTGAGAAGTTGTTGTTGGAGTGGATCAATGAAAAACAGTTAGCAGGAGATAGTGTTGTGGAGGCAAAAATTTGCGAAAAGGCAAGGCAGTTGCATGAGGATCTCTTAAAGAAAATGTATGGAGTGAGTGCTGCTGTTAGTGAATTTAAGGCCAGCAGAGGCTGGTTCGACAAAGTCAAGAAGCAATCTGGCATACACAGTGTTAAGGTAGAGTGAGGCTGCAAGTTTGGACAAACGTGCAGCCAAAGAATTCGTTGATGAATTCAAGGAGTACGTAGAGGCTGAAGGATTCCTCCGCCAACAAGTCTTCAATTGTGACGAAACAGGCCTCTTTTGGAAGAAAATGCCAAAGAGGACCTACATCATGCAGGAGGAAAAGGCACTGCCAGGACACAAGCCTATGAAGGATAGGCTAACTCTTTTGTTCTGTGGTAATGCTAGTGGGGATTTCAAAGTGAAGCCTTTACTGGTGTATCACTCTGAAAATCCCCGAGTGTTCAAGAAAAACAATGTCATCAAGAGTAAATTGTGTGTGATGAGGAAGGCTAACAATAAGGCATGGGTCATGAGGCTAATTTTCATTGAGTTGGTCAATGAAGTGTGTGGCTTGGGAATGAAGAAATATCTCCTGGAAAATAAATTACCACTCAAGTGCCTCCTAGTAATGGACAATGCTCCTGCTCATCCTCCAGACTTGGAAGACCAATTATTGGAGGAGTTCAGTTTCATCACAGTGAAGTTCTTGCCCCTTAATACTACTCCTCTTGTCCAGCCCATGGACCAGCAGGTCATTTCAAACTTCAAAAAACTTTACATCACAGCAATGTTTCAAAGGTGCTTTGAAGTGACCTTGGACACAGAAATGACCCTAAGAGAGTTCTAGAGGAATCACTTCAATATCCTCAATTACATAGGCCTTATAAGGCTTGGCAGGAAATGACTTTCAAGACAATAAACTCTGCTTGGAGAAAATTGTGGCCAAAATGTGTCCAAGAGAAGGATTTTGAAGGGTTTGAGGCTGACACTGACAACCCTACGCCTGTTGTGGAATCTATTGTGGCTTTGGGGAAGTCCCTGGGGTTGGATGTGAGTGGCCAGGAAGTGGAAGAGTTGGTGGACGACCACAGGGAAGAGCTAACCACTGAAGAGCTGCAGCACCATCAACTGGAACAGCAACAGACTGTAGCTGAGGAAACTGCTTCAGAGGAGGAGGAAGAGAGAGGGGAGAATGTGCCTTCTTCAGTGATTAAGGACATGTGTGGAGTGAGTTGCAAAGTTTGTGGAGAAATATCACCTTAACAAAGCTGTTGCAAGCCGTGTCTGCAACAGAAACAGACCTCTCTGGACAGGTTTTTTGTGTGACAGGGGGTCCAGTAAAAGACAAAGAAGGGAAGTAACCCCGGATAGGGACTTGATACTTGAAGTCTTTATGGAGGGGGATTCCCCTTCTAACCAATAACCTCTCCTCCTCCCTCTCCTCTCCTCGTGTCTTCCATATGCCAACAAGAGTCTTCAATAAAGGTAAAAGTGATATTAAATGTTCACTTATCCATTTCATTAGTCTTTTATAATTATTTCTCATTGTTTTCTGTATGTAAAACTATATTCTCTACAAAATGTAATTTTTGTTAATACTTTTGGGTGTCTGGAACAGATTAATTAGATTTACAATATTTCTTATGGGAAATATTGCTTCAGTTTTCGCCGAATTCGGTTTTCGTCAGACTTTCTGGTGGCTAAAGCTCCCGCTTCACACACGGAGGGGCCCGGGTTCGATTCCCGGCGGGTGGAAACATTTCGACACGTTTCCTTACACCTGTTGTCCTGTTCACCTAGCAGCAAATAGGTACCCGGATGTTAGTCGACTGGTGTGGGCCGCATCCTGGGGGACAAGATTAAGGACCCCAATGGAAATAAGTTAGACAGTCCTCGATGACGCACTGACTTTCTTGGGTTATCCTGGGTGGCTAACCCTCCGGGGTTAAAAATCCAAACGAAATCTTATCTTATCTCTCTTATCTTATCTTAATGACGAAAACCGAGGTTCCACTGTAATTCTTTTCAATGCAAATAATCATTCAAATAATTTTACATTTCCTATCAATTTAATGGATGTATCCAAACTAGAACAGTAATTGTGAATAACAGATTGGTGCAATACACAAATAATTTGCACATAGGAGAAAGAGACTAATGACGACATTTTGGTCCAACTTGGACCATTAACTGATATCTTACATTTCAGTACATACATAAAACATTAACACACCTGCCAATGTTTAGCCAGTGGAGGTAGATGATGAAGCCTTGCAAGAGAGCACTGAGTGACTAGTGTCAAACCCTGACTGATAGGTACGCTCTGCTCGTCTCTTCCGTCCAGTCTCTCGTCTTGGCCGGCTTCAGCTCCAGATCCTCGTAGGACACCCACTGCCACTCTGAACTCCCCAGAGCCATCTAAGACACTCCAATGAGCAATATGAGATAACATTGCCTGGTGGTCATCTGAAAACTACATAGTCAAATGATAATTCTCAATATACAGTAATGATATCAGGCATAGATAAAGAGGTAGTAGGTTGGTAGACAGCAACCACCCAGGGAAGTACTACCGTCCTGCCAGATGACTGTGAAACAAAAACCTGTAACTGTTTTGCATGATGGTAGGATTGCTGGTTTCTTTTTCTGTCTCATAAACACGCTAAGATAACAGGGATATCTTGCTACTCCTACTTACACTTTGGTCACACTTCACAGACACGCACATGCATATATATATATACATACATCTAGGTTTTTCTCCTTTTTCTAAATAGCTCTTGTTCTTTTTTATTTCTTCTATTGTCCATGGGGAAGTGGAAAAGAATCTTTCCTCCGTAAGCCATGCGTGTCGTATGAGGCGACTAAAATGCCGGAGCAATGGGCTAGTAACCCCTTCTCCTGTATACAATTACTAAAAAAGAGAAGAAAAAAACTTTATAAAACTGGTTGCTTAAATGTGCGTGGATGTAGTGCGGATGACAAGAAACAGATGATTGCTGATGTTATGAATGAAAAGAAGTTGGATGTCCTGGCCCTAAGCGAAACAAAGCTGAAGGGGGTAGGAGAGTTTCAGTGGGGGAAATAAATGGGATTAAATCTGGGTACGAGAGATTAGAGAAAGGAAGGGGTAGCATAATGTTAATGATCAGTTATGGAAGGAGAAAAGAAAATGAGTGAAAATTCAAGAATTTTTGGGGATTAAAGTAAAGGTTGGATGCGAGAGGGGCATAATAAGCGTGTACACCTGGGAAGAGAGGAATGAAAGGGGGAGAGAAGAGTTTTTGGGGAGATGTTAATGAATGTATGGGAGCCTTTGAACCCAAGTGAGAGAGAAATTGTGGTAGGGGACTTGAATGCTAAATGGGAGAAACTTTTAGAGGGGGGTGTGGTGGTAAGTTTGGGGTGCCAGGTTAAATGATAATGGGAGCCCTTTGATTGAATTTGTATAAAAAGGGGGGTTTTGTTTAGGTAACACTTAAGAAAAAGAGGATAATAATAACACGATATAAATGTAGGCGAAATGACAGTAGTTTTTTTGATTATGTAAGGGGGAGATAAAAAGACTTTGAGTAGACTTCAGGATGAAACATGTTTTAAGAGGGCCACAATATATCAATCACTTTCTAGTTGTACTACACTGAAAAGAAAAAAGGTAGATGGATAAAAGGGAAATAGAAAGCATCAGGAAGAAGAGGGAAGGTTAAAAACTAAAAGAGGAGGCAGTTAGGGTAAGATATAAACAGCTATTGGAGGATAATGGCTAATGAGAACATAGGCAATGGGGTCGAAGGGGTATGGGTAGGTTTAAAATGTTAGTGTTGGAGTGTTCAGCAGAAGTTTGTGGTTACAGGAAGTGGGTGCAGGAGGAAAGAGGACGATTGGTGAAGAGATGTAAAGAAGTATAAGGAAAAAATTTTAAGCATATGGAAGTTTTTACAAAGTAGAAGTGATGAAGGATGGAAGAGTAATTGGGGGAAAAGAAGAAGTTAAGAGAGTGGTGAAGCAATGTAAAAAACGAGCAAATGAAGAGTGGGTGAGATGTTATAAAACAAATTTTGTTGAAAATAAGAAAAAGTTTTTGGAAGTGAGATTAACAAGTTAAGAAACCCTAGAGAACAAATGGATTTGTCAGTTAAAATAGGAAGGAGAGTTATTAAATGGAGATTAGAGTATTGGGAAGAGGGAAGAAATATTTTGAGGAATTGTTAAATGTTGTAAAGATAGGAAGCTGTGATTTCGTGTTAGGCAAGAGAATAAAAACTTGTAGGAGTGAGGAGGGCCATTGTGAGTGTGGGGAAAAAGTTCGTGAGGCAGTAGGTAAAATGAAAGGGGGTAAGGCAGCCGGGATTGAATGGGATAAAGATAGAAATTTTTAGAGCAGGTGGGATATGTTTTGGAGTTGTTTGTGCAATTTTTTAATAAATTATGGAAGAGGGTAAGGTACCTAGGGATTGGCAAGAGAGCAGGGCATATTTCCCTTTGTATAAAGGCAAAGGGATAAAAGAGAGTGCAAAAAATTATAGGGGGATAAGTCTTTTTGAGTGTCCCGGTAAATTAAAGGTGTATGGTAGAGTTATAATTGAAAAAATTAAGAGTAAGACGAGAATAGGATAGCAGATGAACAAGGAGGCTTTGGGAAAGTTAGGGGTGGTGGACCAGGTGTTTTACAGTGAAAACATATAAGTGAACATTTATTTAATAAGGCAAAGAGGTCATTTGTGGCATTTAGGGATTTGAAAAGGGTATGACAGGGTTATAGGGGGCAATGGGAAGATGTTGCAAGTGTATGGTGAGGAGTAGGGGTTACTGAAAAGCAGTGAAGATTTTGTTACAGGATATGAGGCTCAAGTAGAGTAGGGTGGAAAGAAGGAAATTTTTTTCCCAGTAAAAGTAGGCCTAGACAAGGATGTTGATGTCAACCGTGGTTGTTTAATATTTTTTTATAGAGGGGGTTGTAAGAGAAGTAAATGCGAGGGTCTTGGCAAAGAGGCGGGATTAAAAGATAAAGAATCACACACAAAGTGGGAGTTGTCACAGCTGCTCTTTGCTGATGACACTGTGCTCTTGGGAGATTCTGAAGAGAAGTTGCAGAGATTGGTGGATGAATTTGGTAGGGTGTGCAAAAGAAGAAAATTAAAGGTGAATACAGGAAAGAGTAAGGTTATGAGGATAACAAAAAGATTAGGTGATGAAAGATTGAAATTTTCAGATTGGAGGGAGAGAGTATGGAGGAGGTGAACGTATTCAGATTTTGGGGATTTGGGACGTGTCAGTGGATGGGGTCTATGAAAGATGAGGTGAATCATAGAATTGATGAGGGAAAAAGAGTGAGGGGTTTGCACTTAGGAGTCTGTGGAGACAAAGAACTTTGTCCTTGGAGGCAAAGAGGGGAATGTATGGAGTATAGTTTTACCAACGCTCTTATAGGGGTGTGAAGCGTGGGTGATGAATTTTGAAAGCGAGGAGAAGGCTGGAGGCAGTGGAGATGTCATTCTGAGGGCAATGTTGTGGTGTAATATAATGCAGAGAAATTTGTAGTTTTGGAAGTTAGGAGGAGGTGCGGGAAATTACCAAAACTGTTGTCCAGAGGGCTGAGAAGGGTTTTTGAGGTGGTTCGGACATGTAGAGAGAATGGAGCGAAACAGAATGACTTCAAGAGTGTATCAGTCTGTAGTGGAAGGAAGGCGGGGTAGGGTCGGCCTAGGAAGGGTTGGAGGGAGGGGGTAAAGGAGGTTTTTGTGTGCGAGGGGCTTGGACTTCCAGCAGGCATGCGTGAGCGTGTTGATAGGAGTGAATGGAGACAAATGGTTTTTAATACTTGACGTGCTGTTGGAGTGTGAGCAAAGTAACATTTAAAGAAGGGATTCAGGGAAAAACCGGCAGGCCGGACTTGAGTCCTGGAGATGGAAGTACAGTGCCTGCACTCTGAAGGAGGAGTTGTTAATGTTGCAGTTTAAAAACTGTAGTGTAAAGCACCCTTCTGGCAAGACAGTGATGGAGTGAATGATGGTGAAAGTTTTTCTTTTTCGGGCCACCCTGCCTTGGTGGGAATCGGCCGGTGTGATAATAAAAAAAAAAAAAAAAAAATAATAAAGACTTAAAAATTAATTGAAAATTGAGAGCCGGACATGAATTCTGCAACTATAGAAGATACAGTGGGAAGGGGAGTATGGAGAACTGAAAAGTGGAAGGTAAAAAAAAGAAATATTAATTAGGATTACATATAGCAGGTGGTAATTAAAAAAACAAATCTCAAGAAAGCTATCATTTTCCCATTTTCCCAGCATCCTCTCTTCCATTCTCAGTTAAAAAAAATTTCCCAAGATATGGCAAATCTTGGATACTTCTTATTCTCTTTAAAATGTATGTATAGGCTGCCTTCAGGAAGTGTTAAGGCCAAACAAACAAGAGAGTACGTATGCAATATTTGAAGATTACCATTCTGTATATGGTTATCTGTTTATTGTAAGAAAAACATTCCTGATGTGCTAAGAAATGTAATAAGGAGTTCACCTGCTAATGAAAAACAACCTATTTGCTCAATGAGCCTAAAGCAATGAATTTAAAGGGAAAAATCTTGGCTAGTGTTACCCAATGCCATTAAAGTTCCTATCAAATCATCCAGAGTAGATGAGACAGGCTTCATCCAACAGTGAGGTTTGATGGATGAATGGAGCATAGCTGTTCCGTCCATTCCTCAAATTTCTTCACCATAAGATATATAACATTCAATTATTTGAAATAAAAAAGTGGCCACATACTAAAAAAAAAAAAAAAATCACTAGATGAATTCACAGCAAAAAATATGCCTGGTCCTCTCCACAATCACAAATTAAATTTTCACTCATTTGATTTTATTGCAATGTACTTTTATAGGCTGAAGTGGGGACCACCAAGTCTAGCCTAAAGCTTTGTTAATTGGGCATCAATTTGCACAACTTTTGCAAGGACTGCAGCCATAATACTTAGTGAAAGAAGTGTACCTATTTAATATTCAGTTACTATACATCTAAATGTGCTAATAAAAGAAAACATTTAAATGAAAAACTTACACAAATTACAGTACTTAGCCAATTAAAGAAATTTAACACTCAAATTCCTTATTTATATTTGTTAGATTTACCCTTAAATTTCAATACAAAATGTTATGTAGAGTTGTTAATAGTCATCAATGAAACAGCTGTTGTACCTTCTGGCCAAGAGTTAGTCCGCTGCGGAATAAAAGAGTGCTGACCCCTCAGTCCAACCTTCAAAGGGGTGGGGCCTGAGTTTCCTCGCTGCTGCTGCTGCTGCGTTTCTTGCTGCAGCCTGTTGGGCCCCTGCCTAGCTGCCCATGTGGAACTACATTGGTAACCTGCAAAGATCTGGAAATTACTTTTGTGTTGTTTAACAGGATGGAGACAATCTATACTCAACAGTACAAGAACCCCAATTCATGTCTTCCTTTACAAGAAACCCTTCGGATTAGTATTTAAAATTAAAGCAATTGGGCAGATTAAAAGGGATCACTATTTTAAACCCCAAATCCCAAGGTAAAGAGATAAACCAACTGAAATTCAGTAATAGAGGAATACACATTACAGCACTTTAGGAGCAAAAGCAATAAAATTTGTGAAATATTCCAGTCACATACCTACTAAAATGTTCTTGATGAAAGGGTTTAAAGTGTTGGAACTGGAAAAAATTAATACAGGGTACTACTAAATTTTCAAACAAATTTTAAGTTTTGAAACCAATGATTGAGGAAATCTAAGTCGGAAAAGACACGTAAAGTTGATGATACTGTTTTGTTGCAAGAATATCAGGGGTAACTGCAAAAAAAAATACGGCCTTTCCTCACTTAAATGGACGGAGTTCTGTTCCCCAAAACAAAGTCGTTAAAAAACGAAAATTCGTCACCAAGTAGACATTCTATATGGTATGGGTTTGTGTCAAACCATCTTTGATCTGTTTTAAATGTCACCTTTGCACCAAATCTAACATTTTGGTATTAATTTTAAATGTTTATACAGTATGTAATGCATATTGAAATAAACAGAATTAGAGGAAATCACTTTTAAAATACATTATTTAGGTATAGATACTGGTCAAGAGCCGTCGTAAGTCCAAGGCATCTAAAAGAAATACGTCGCTAAGTGGGGGAGAGGGTACAAAGGAATTTTGTAATATATGAGGAAAACTTGCCCGATAAGTGGGCAAAACAATATGGTAATAGTATAAATGTTTTTATGTCAAGTACATAATAGTAAATGATTTTGAAGGTGTGGTGCAGCCGAAAGGCAATACTGTACTAAACGTAAGCCTCCTCTGATATGTGCATAGGGTAATGTACCTTACTTTTGCATAAAGAAGAACAATAAAAAACCAGTTTGGGAAAAATTTACCCACCACTGAAACATGAACAAAAAATTAATTTTAAAAACCTGGATCTTAAAGTTCCCAAAAAAAACCCTAAGGCTTTTGGGGGAAACGTTAAAAACGTAAAAAGTGGATGGGGTTTTAAAAATGTATCTTTAAAAAAAAAACGGTATAACGTTTTTTTCAAAAAATTTTTGGTTCCAAAAATAAATGGTAAAATTATAAGGGCCCCAAAATTGGGGGGCCCCCCCCAAAGGGGGCCTTTTTAAACCGGAACTTTTTAAAATCACACCTGCAGCAAACTTGCAATGACTGCTAAAATGGCCACAGAGCGCCATGACACAATACTCGAAAGACACCTCGGAAACATCCCCACACACGATACATCTGACTTCGGCTCATGGCGAGGTCATGAATCTGGATCATCTACATCAGTCATGATCTGTTGGGTAACACAACAAACTAAAAACAATTTTTTAAAATATTTTGTTTATAATAAAACATACTTGTACTATAATAAGTTATTAACCATAATAAAAAAATTAAGAGGTAAGGCCATTTATGAAAATAGGGATGTCAGGCTAGTACATGAATCTGCAGCAATAGCTTGTGAGAAGACAGCGAGGGAATAAATGCAAGAACACACAAAGACATATTTAAAAATTGGATGACCTGAGAGAGCATACTTAAATGGAGCTGCTTGTTGGGCTTGTTATGAGTCCTTTTCCTCCAAGGCATATAAAGAATGAAAAAAGTTTCCCAAATTAGATATATGCAGAGTATCATATACTACAACTCTATTATTAACGTACCTTTTAAGCCTCGTATAGAGAATATAGATTATTGTGAGTTCACGAAAGCTCATGTACGATATAAATGGCATACCATTGACAATTGTGAGGAAAAGACACACTGCAGAACAAGCCTTGTTTGGGACAATGACACACTGAATAAAGCTTTATCAAATCATAACTTATTAACAAGGCTGTGGAGTCGGCGTCAGAAGTGCCATAAATAAAGGAGTCGGGGTCGAAGGTCTTGTGTGCCGACTCCACAGCCCTGTTGACAACAACCTGCCTGAGGACATTGTAGTGGTAAATTTAGATTTCAAGAATGCGTTTAGTCTCCTAAAAAGTAATGCGGTATTAACCAGGGCTGTGGAGTCAGAATCAGAAGCAGTTTTTTGGGTTACTGGAGATGGAGTTGGTAAAATGAAATTAAAGGAGTCGGAATTGAAGGTTTTATGTGCCAACTCCACAGCCCTGCTTATAAAGCTCTACAAAGGAAAACTTTGTTTCATTAAAAGCTTCCACAACAAGCCCTTTTCTTCAATGGTTTCCCAAACTGTTTTTTGCTTTTTCTAGAGTGCCATACCTTGATCTGGCATGAAAAAAAATATATACTTTTAATTGAGCAATTCACTAGCTATTATTTTAATTTTTACTACAAACCTTTGATTTAACCAACATCATTCACCTCTACACACAAAGTCAAAATGTGTAGATATATCAGAGCAAACGCCTTAAATAATAGCATTTACTATATTAAGCTTTTACTTCAGAAACTTTTGGGCTCAATGTACTTGCTTGCCTCTATCTATTTATAAAATGAATCCCTATTTATTTTCAGGGTCTGAATACCAGTAAGGTGCAGATTTAGAAGTAAATCCTTGATTTAAGAGACTAACAGGGAAAGCAGATGGCGGGTAATTGCAATTAGTGTGGATAGAGATGAGATTCTTTTGCTGTGATTTACAAAAACAGACAATTCTGTAACCAATGAACTGTTAGTGGCATTTTCTGACAAATTTCAAATTTAGCTACAATATCCATATAAACAAAATTAATTTTATACAGTGGACCCTTAAATTTCACAATTTTTTTTTTGTTAATACTCTTGGGTATCGGGAACGGATTAACTGGATTTACATTATTTCTTATGGGGAAAATGATTTTGGTTTTCGTGAATTTTGGTTTTCGGCAGACTCTCTGGAACGAATTAATCATGAAAACCAAGGGTCCACTGCATTACGTAAAAAAAAAATTTATCACAATTTTAAATTAAAACTTGCTCTCTAAACATTATATGGAGAAAACTGTTCAAACTCAACTGACCAAGCCGATTTAGTGTCATATTCTGATGTTCATTAAGTCGTGAGTTCACTGATTTTAAATTTCCAAAAGTGTTGCTCTAAGTGGCAAATAAAGAGATAACAACAATGGCTTGATAAAGCTCCTGGAGAGTGAAAAGTTCCACAATAAAATTTTCACATCATTTTGCACTTGCGTCCTTTTACCTAACAGATAAGAACAAGCAAAGCAGTATTTTCAGAATTTACAAGCCATGAATTTCTCTCTGGTTGTCACATGAAACACTCCTCTTGAAATTTTATCATACAGGTTCCCTCCCCTCCTCAAAAAAAAGGAGACCAAGAGATAAGGTTTATCATAGAACACAGCTGTACCCAACCTTACCCTTGTGCAGGTCTCGAGACAATTCTCTTAAAATGTTTCAGCCTCCTCTCAAAAGTGTTGCAGCTCAGACACCATTTCAGGTTAACATGGCTGTTGTTGCAGCTCTTGGATCTGATGAGATATGAGTCTGGATTATTTGAAGGGAAAAAACGTAGTTGATAAAGTAAATGTTTTGCAAAATTTAAAAAAAAGTAAGATCCTTTGATTATTATTATTGTCTTGAGCACAGGGTGCTGAAATCAATAAAATTTCTATCATTATCAATTTGCTATTATAGTGGCCAATTAGCTGTAATATTGCAAAAATTATCAAAATATGTAATTAAATAATTCAAAGCTGAAAAAATTCCTACAAAAACTGTATCAATAATCTATTCAATATGATAGGTCAAATGTCACATTACAGATTATGATCACTGTATGAGGAGGCTCTAAACCCATAGGAGTCATACAATGTCCGGGGAATGAGAGGTAATCAGGGAAGAGGAGGGGAGCTCAAACTCCTTGGATGAAGAGCCCTTCACCAGCTTCAAGGAACTCCACTGAAGGATCACTTAACAGTAATCATTGCTATCTAATCAAGAATTTCCTGCTTAACTTTGATTTACAAAAATCAACAAATAAGTTTTAGACAGAAAAAACACGCCCTTATATGCCAGGACTAGAATTAAGCAATATATCTCACGAAATCATGATAACACGATTGCAAACAAATCACAGAATCTACCTATGGCGGAAGAAGGTCGCTCAATTTCCTTGAATCAAGAACCCGCCCTCCTTAAAGGGTAAATTGAACTTTGGATACCCCAGTAAAGTCAACGTGTTATTTATGGCTCAAACAATCACGTCTCTGCATCTCTTACCAACCAACCTTCATCAAACTCTTAAAATTACACTGAAACGTAACTAAAATAAAAAATAAATTCACCCAGTAAGACTCAAATGGCACAAATGACAGTCCGAGTATTTATCACTACAGACCAGCTGGAGGTGTTATACGCATCATACCTCCGTATTCTGCAGAAGTTAAGATGTCTGAAGAGTAAAAGTGACGAGTGTGAGAGGTAGTAATTACAAATAACGAGCTGCTGCAGCAAGCTGACACTAACACCAGGACTGTTGTTGTCCTCCCTCTGAGGTCCAAGTTAACCTCACACATGGAGGGAATCTTCACACTTGTCAAATGTAAAATATAATTAAAAACACCAGGCAAAAAACACACAACAAAATCTAAACTAAACAAACAGATTTAGCGTAATCGAAACACCTTTATTCGGTATATTTCTTTGCATAGTGTAATTAATATTACTTGTATGCAACACCGTATATGATGCTGCTATAGACTTTGTAACATCCGGTATGATATTTGGGTACTTAAAAATGGGAATTTGTAGTCGGCGTCTCATTTCAGACCTATACAAAAACACTCATATTATATTCTTGTTATATATAATTAAAAAGGTCAATAATGAGAGAGGCTGGATCTGATGTGAACTTACACATGAATTTATAGGGGTTACAGAAGCTTATTCTTTGGGCTGCATGAAAAATGGGTTGGTAAATATTTTGTAGTGGGTTTGTCAGTAAGGCCTGCTGCAGTGCTGCTAACGTTCTAGGCTCTTTAACTGTTGCTATAAAATACAAATTTATGACAATGGTCCTCATGACGGCACTGACTTTTCTTGGGTTATCCCTGGGAGACTTAACATCCAGGGTTAAAAATCCGAGAAAATCTATTCTTAATGATCTATCACTTGATTGTTTGTTATTTATTAATTATTTTAATTTATTTCCAATTGTGTGCAACACATAACAGAGGTACAAAAAAAATACAGATACATCACATGCCAAAGCCACTTATACATGCATACATTATACGGGCTAGCTTAAAATTAACTTTAAGATTAACTAGGCAATGATTATTATTATTCATATAATCAAAAGAAGCGCTAAGCCACAAGGACTACACAGCGCTGCTACTAAGCATGATGAAATCGTGATAAAACCATTAATGTAAACAGATAACTATAAAGGCACAAGTGAGCTTACAAAGACAGGTCATAGGTTTGGCATTCAGTTAGGTAGTATTCTGTTAGGGTATGTACTTAAAAAATAATAAAGTTAGATTGGGTTTAGTTAACATGTTGTGTGATATAATTGTGAAAACATTTAAGATATACAAGTTTATAATGTTCAGTTATTCAGTATTTATTTGGTTTTGGGTGAGTTAAGTAACTTTGAGAAGAGACTTGAATTTAAAAACAGGTAGTGTGTTCTTTTATTATTACAGGTAATGAATTCCAGATTTTAGGGCCTTTATGTGCATTGAGTTTTGCATAGTGTGATATGGACACGAGAACATCAACGAGTGATCTGTGCCTTGTGTTAATGGTCATGTGTTCTGTTGAGTTGGCAAGGAGATGTTTGAGGGAGGGTAAATCAGAGAGTAAAGTGTTCTATGTATGTAATAAGGTGCAGTAAAAAGTAATGGATGTTTGTAAGTGAGTAGGTAGTGTATTGAATAATTGTGGAGTGTGCTGCCTGTAGTGAGAATTTGTTAATCATCTAACTCAGCCCTATTGTTGGGTAATTAGTGGTCTGAGATGGTTAATTGTTGTTGAGCCCCATGCACAAATTCCATAGGTGAGATAGGGGTAAATAAGAGAGTGCTATAGGCCAGGTTTGTTTATATTACTTTTGTTTTTGCGTAAAATCCGGATTTCAAATAGGATTTTTAACCAGGATGGTTAGCCACCCAGGATAACCCAAGTAAGGCAGTGAGTCATCGAGGGAATTGTCTTTCTTATTTCCACTATGGTCCTTTAATCTTGTTCCCCAGGATGCGACCCACACCAGTCGACTAACACCCAGGTACCTACTTACTGCTAGGTGAACAGGGACAGTAGGTGTAATGAAACATGCCCAACGTTTCCACCCGTGCCGGGATCGAACCAAGGACACTCAGTGTGTTGCTAACCGAGGCACGGGCACACTCCACTCTTGACTAATTTGAATAACTCCGACGACCTTCAGTATTATCACACAGGATATAAATATATATATATAATAAATCGAGAGTGTATTCCCTGAACGTAGATATGTTTGAGACTGGTGTTATTTGCATGTTTTAATGACCCTAGTGTAGTTGGTTACGTTAAGCCCTATTAACCAACTTATCTCACATGATTAACGTTTTTTTTGTACACCGAGAGATGTATACTCTCTTGTGTATACACAGAGTTTTCCTTTATTCCTTTTCATAGTTTTAGTTATTATAATATTATCTTTAATTACTAACAAGTACTTGTATATACAGTCCTAGCTGACATCAATGACATACTGCTATACAGAAAGCCGCTTGTTATGCTGAGCATTTCGGGCAAATTAGGTCAGTTTTTGTCCCAGGATGCGACCCACACCAGTCCACTAACATCCAGTAACCATTTTACTGATGGTGAACCATAGGCAACATTGTAAGGAACACGTCCCAAAAGTTTTCAACCCTTGCCGGGAATCCAACCCTGATCCTCACCGTGAGAAGCGAGAGCTTTTGCCACAATGCCACGGGTACATATGATTCAACCTTCTTTGGCGGGTCGTCATTATATATCATGAAAGGTAATAATTCTAGTACTGATACTTTCAATTTCAAATTCAACAAATTATTTCTTTGCGATGCCCCATAGCCATAGACCTTTTATTTTGAAATTTTCAATCGATTTTTTTTTTTTGGTAATTTCGACTATTTTTAGTTTATTTAGAAAAATAATTACGTAAAATTCACATAGACTGGTAGCCTCAGCCTGCCTCCAGGGGCCCCAAAGCAGTCTTGTCCCACCTTGTAAAATTTCTCTTGGAGGCCCTGGGTACCGTGTCCAATCCTTCCTCCAGTCCAAACATATGCAGTCGACTCAACATTCTCTCCGTTGCTTAATTTATGTTATTTTTGTAATTTAATGTTCATCTTTCCCGCTACTTTAAACAACATACATGTCAGTGATGGTGGCCTGCAATTCAGCACCTCTGTCTGTCTCTCGGCTTGTATAATGATAACCCACTCCCTGCAGTTTCCAGTCGCCTAATATTTATTCCAGTCGATGTTGAGAGGAAATCTTTTTGATAGTTCACGCAAGTCCTACACTCATTTCAGAAAACCATGGAATGAGCTGTTGTGTGTGTGTCCTCACCTAGCTGTTACTTAACTCAACCTATCTTGTGGTTGCAGAGTCCGATTCACAGCTCCTGGCCCGCCTCTTCCACTGGTCGCTATTAGTCAACTCTTCCTGCTCCATGAGCTTTATCAACCTTCTTGTGTGTGTACTCACCTAATTGTGATTTCAGGGATCGAGACTCAGCTTCTGGCCCTCCTTTTCACTGATCGCTACTATGTCCTCTCTCTCTCTCTCTGCTTCCTGAGCTTTGTCATACCTCGTCTTAAAGCTATGTATTGTTTCCTGCCTCCAACATCAATTCCTAGGCTAATTCCACTTACCTGACCGATTCTATGACTGAAGAAATAATTCCTAACATTCATGTGACTCGTCTGAATCTTCAGCTTCCAATTGTGACCCTTTGTTTCTGTGTCCCCTCTCTGGAACATCCTGTCTCTGTCCACCTTATCTATTCCACGCAGTATTTTGTATGCCGTTATCATTTCTACCCTGACCCTCCTGTCCTTCCAGTGTCGTCAGTCCGATTTCCTCTACCTTTCTTCGAGATATTCCCCTGAGCTCCGGAACTAGCCTTGTTGCAAACCTTTGTACTTTCTCTAATTTCTTGACATGTTTGACCGGTTGTGGTTCCAAACTGTGCTGCATACTCCAGTATGGGCCTGACACGCAGGTACAGTGTCTTGAAGGATTCCTTACTAAGGTATCGGAACGCTATTCTCAGGTTCCAGGCGCCCGTATGCTTGCGCAGTTATCTGGTTGGGATGGTGCCTCTCCGGAGACTGCTGCGGTGGTTATGGGCACCCCAAGATCTTCTCCTTGATATGTTTGCAGTCTTTGTCCAACTAACCGATACTCTGTCTGAGGTCTTCTTTGCCCTCCCAACTTCATGACTCTGCATTTGTAGGGTTTTGAATTCGAGCAGCCAGTTGCCGGACCACATGTCCAACCTGTCCAGGTCCTCTATTGTAGTCCTGCCTGATCTCACCTGATTTAATTCTCCTCATTAACTAAACATCACTGCGAACAAGGACACTTCCAGATCTATCCCCTTCATACATGTCATTCACATAAATCAAAAATACACTGGTCCTAGACCTTTTAACCTGTGTGTGTGTTGTTGTGTGTGTGTGTGGGTGTTTGGTGGGGTTGTGTGTGTGTGTGTGTGTGGGTGTGTGTGTGTGTTGTGTGTGTATGTGTTTGTGGTGTGTGTGTCGAGAGAGGAGAGAAAGAGAGAGAGAGAAAGAGAGAGAGAGAGAGAGAGAAAGAGAGAGAGAAGAAGAGAGAGAGAGAGAAGAGAGGAGAGAGAGAGCGAGAGAGAGAGGAGAGAGCACCCGTGTGTAAGAGGAATGAATACTGAGTTTTTTTTTTTTTGTAATCAACTAGAAAAAATTGGGGTTCATCCTGTATTGTGTGTCCACCCTCACCTGTATTACATTTCACAAGGTCAGCGCACAGGCTGTATTTATCTAAGACACCATCACAAGGCGGATATCCCAGCCCATACTCCATCCCACAGATGAGTACCCCTCACATTCCTGTCACATAGGATGTCTCTCCTCTCACAAAAAAAAAAAATGACACAATTAAAATACCGCGACTGGAACAATATTCACATAACCGCACATAGAATGAAACTTATACGACGTATAATCACGATCGTTTCGGTCTGACTTAAACAATTAACTAGTCACACTAACACACGAAGGTAAGGGAGCCAGCAAACCCTTAAATACTGTCACTATCAGCTTAGTGACTTAGTTTATTGTTATGTACCATTCTCCCGTTGCGGGTTATATTGTGTAATGTGTCCTCTCATACTTCGTCACATAGGATGGAATTTCTGTCATTCTCTGTCACACTGGATGAATTTTCTGTCATATTCCATCAAAACAAGATTGGTTTAGGCCATATTCCATACTGCAGGACGAGTGTCTTCTGATTTCGGGAGAGTGAGGGTGAATATGGAGGAGAGCAGAATGCCTGGAGGGTGTT